CACATCTATAGTAACTGCATGAAAAAGGCCTGCGTGTTTTATGCCGCTCAGTAGCCCGTTTAGGAACAATCCATTTATTACTAACAAAATGATCAACTGACGTTCCCAACTTGGTTAGCAACCTCAAAAGAAACGGCTTCTGGCCGTAGGGCGTGTCACCATATCAGCCTTCTTTTATACTTAAATTTTAGAGCCAAACGTGAGATTTCCGGCACATATACAAAAAGTTAAAAATTAGTTTAAAAAAACCCACCAGGGGCCGCCTTTCATACCATCCTTGCTAGACTCCAATCTCAGCGCACCCCCCTGCCTCAGGCACGATGTCAAGCATGGGAATGCAAAGCAGCAACCCCGACGGCAACGGGACCTGCTGTGAGCCAAGCGCATCCCACCAGCCTTGGGTCAGAATCGGCCCAGGGAGCCGTGGAGAACGCACGTTCCTGGGTCCTACCCGTGGCGATCCCCAGCCAGCTGGCCTGGGGTCAGCTCTAGGAAGGGGCCACTGAGAAGGCACCCCTTTGATGTGGGTACACAGCAGGTCTGGGATCCACCAATTCAATGTATTTTAAAATCTGAAATTCGCAGTAAGAAACATCTTGCTCCTAAAAATAGTGAGTTAAAGGGAAATATGAAGCATGCTGGACTATTTTAAAACATTAAAACAACATCAGGAGAGAATGGTATTACGATGCAGTCTCCAAGAAAGAAAGCAATCTATACTATGAAAGCAATCAGACGACACTGGAAACACCAAAATGACACGACAATCACTCACCCGCATGGCTCCAGCGGAAATCCTGCTTAATGGCTCATTCCCAAAAAGGCAGCTCGGCTAGCAAAAATTACAGGCTCGCTTCAGAGACCCTTTATTGCCGGTATGGATCAAGACCACCGCAATAAAGTGAGTATCACAATGAAGCAGGCCATGTGAATTTTTTGGTTTCCCAGTGCTTACAGTTATGTTTATCCTATACTGTGGACTATTATGTGTATAATAGCATTATGTCTAAAAAATGCACGCACCTTAACAAATAAATACTTTATGTCTAAAAAATGCTAACCCCATCATCTGAGCCTTTGGTGAGTTGTAGGAGCAACAAAAACTACGGATCATAATAAAAAACGTAACAACGAGAAAGTCTGAAATGTTTCAAGAATTCCCAAAATGTGACAGAGACACGAAGCGATCAAATACTGTTGGAAAGACGGCACCAATAGATTTGCTTAACGCAGGGTTGCTCCCAACCTTCAATGTGTAAAAAACGTAGTATCTGTGAAGCGCAGGAAATCGAAGCACCAGAAGGGAGGTAAGCCCGTCGATCTCTCACTACTCTGGGAAACAGCCTGCTCACCAGTTGAGAACTGAGCTAGAAGCCTGGCTGCCATCGGAGCTTCCCTCCCTGTCGCTGCCAGGCAGCAGGGGCTTTAAAGGAAGTGCCTGTTGGATTTTGTAGCAACTGCTCGTTTGTTCATGAAAGTCACAGATGAGCATCAGCAATACAAGAACTCACAGAAGACGGCCCACACATTTCCACCAATTTCATCAAAAGATAACAATGGCTACATAGAAAGTTTCTGAACTTCAAAAACTTTACGGTTTTTTTTTTTTTTTGGTGCTAACTCTGCAAAGCAGACATGTAGCAATCGGCCTTCTGGAATTAGAACAAAAAGAATGGGTTCCAAATACTTCTTCCTGTTACAGCTCCTCACCCCAAAGACAGAAGAGACACTGGCAGCACTGGGAAGGGTTCTTGGACCTGGGGCCCCTGACCACCTCTCCTTCTCCAGGTGGGTGGGGTGTCACTCCCAAACCACTCCAGAGCCATCACAGGGTGCCTGCCTCCACTTGGTGGAGTTGACCCCAGGCCCACACACCTATCCACCTGCACGCCTCCGCTTTGATCCATCAGCCTTCTCTTTGGCTGCTGCCCCTGGAGCAGGAACTCCTTCCACATTTCCCAGCCGAGTCCCTCTCGCAGCGGTTGGTCTTTCTGCCAGGGACTCTCTGACCCTCCCTTACAGGTTTACTATTTCCCTTGCCACTAGAGGGACCAAAGCCCCCACCCAGTGGCCTTTATCAGCTGCATTTCCTGCCTGGTCACAGAAGGCACTGGATTATATGTGCGAGTCTTGCACTCACACCACACCTCCTTCTTCTGCTTCAGAAGTTACCACAATTCCTTGGTCATTCAACAAGTATCTTACTAGAAGACACTCTGTATGCTACATACTGGTAGAGAAAAACAGCAGAAGTAGGATTTTAAGATACTCCTTCCCCCTGCCCCCAACACAGAGACATTGTGAGAGAGAGACAGGAAGGTAAAGAAAATCATCTCATCAAGTTTATACTGTGCAGCACAGAGAACTACATTCAATATCTTGTAGTAACTTAGGGTGAAAAAGAACATGGAAACAAATATATGTATGTTCCTGTATGACTGAAGCATTGTGCTGTACACCAGAAACTGATACAATACTGTAAACTGACTATACGTCAACAAAAAAGGAAGGAAGGAAGGAAGGAAGGAAAACCATCTCCATGAAATGTGCTGTAATGGAGTGCAGTTGCCTCTGGGAGAGGAGACGGAGAGGGCCCCTTCCCACCTAAGGAAGTCCTGGGAGAGGCGACACCTTTAAGCGGGCCTTCCCCCAACAGCAGCTGCTTTCACTTTCCACTTTCCTCTCTCACTCCCTTCTAATCCACTTTGCCCATCAGCTCTCTGGAGGACCACTAAGTCGCATCCCTCAGGGCCCGGGGCGTCTGGCGACACTGAGTCTCTGGGCCGCCCTGCCTGCCTTGGCACACAGCCCTTGCACACACGGGTACATCAGCTCCAGCCATGCAGACTCCGTGCGGTCCGCTCCAGACAGCCTGGGAAGCCCTGCCCTGGCACTTGCTCCCATCACCCCTGTGGCCAACCTGGAGCCACCAAGTGTGGCTGGCTGTTCAGTGCACAAACCGTGCAGCGGTGTGGGGCAGCCCTGTCAGTCCCCATGAAAACACTCCCCCAGATTAGGGGATTACAGCATTTTCTGCATTTTCCATAATGGATGTATATTACACACCAAAAAACTCAGGAGAAAGAATCTGCATATGGGGAAAACAATCCACACACTCTTCAGAACAGCCCGATGTGAAGGCCGCCCCCTTCAGGAAGCCTTCTCTGAGTTACTCTTCAAGAAGCAATCTGTGCTCCTCCTCACCTCCTTGTTCTTAAGGCCGTGGGCTGTCTAGCAACTTCAGACCCACCTTCCTCTGCCTACAGCGGCACCTTTGCCCCCTGTCACACCGACCACGTGCCGGGCGCTGTTTCACGCACCCCTCGCTGCGGACCAGCGAGGCTGCTGTTCCCGTCCCCACATTGTAACAAGGGAAGCCGAGCTGGGGAAAGCAGCTCAAGACAAAGAACTAACCGACGGCTCTTGCAAGTTTAAATTTAAATCCAGTCCAGTCTGCCTTCAAAATCCTTAATTCCAAACTACGGGGCAAGTGACTGCCTTTTCCAGTAACAGCCGCTGAGAGTCCTAGGCAAGGAGACAGTATCTTCTTCAGCTTTGTACTCACTCTGCGGCCTACTCCTGGGCCTCACCCCAAAGCAGACACTCAGAGAACCGTTTTATGATTACAGAAAAGATTCCTTGGGAGAAAAATGCAGGATGCTGATTATGATGGTTTGACTCTTAAAAACAAGCACTGTCCTGACACAAAGCCCTGCAGGCTCCAGCTGTAAAGTGAAGCTCGACACTAGGGCTTCGTCTGTTCCCGTCATCACCCTGAACCCCCTCCCGGCTTCCGATCGTCTCCCACGGTCTACCCTCCGCAGATCTGCCAGGGAGAGGGTCCTGTGTGACGTGTTCACTTAAACCTTCAGTAGCCCCGAGCGTCTCCCTCCTCTGGCCTGCAAGCCTGTGTATGAACAGGGTTCCGGCCTAGGAGGCCAGACTTCTCTGGTCTCTACTTCCCCTCACCAGCTTCCCTAGCCTTCCTCAGCTCTGTGCGCCCGCTCGCCCCTCGGTATTGAAAGCTTCTACTCCAGACTGCAGCCTGGGTGGCCCCCCCCATCACTTAGGGCTCAGGTCACCAGAGTCACCTCCCTGAGAGGTTTCGCTTGAACACTCCATTACAGAAACAGCCTGCTGTTCCTCTCTGTCTCAAGCTCGCATTTGTAGTAGTGAGGACAATGAGGAAATGATCTGCAATTATTTTTATAATGTGTCTAGTTAGTTTCGCCTGTCTCTCCAGCTAGATTTTAAACTCCACGGAGGTAGGAATCAAAGCCCCAGTGCCTGAAGCAAGGTGGGCGCTCAAAGACTACTGAGTTGTTACTGAACCTAACGGGACATAAAATTAAGTTTCATGATCAGACTTCTTTTTTAAACTCTTTAGATAACCTTATGACAATGCAAAACCACCTTATTTAGATTTTCCCATGATTCATACCCAGATAAAAACAGGCTTAGAGCCTACAAGCCCAGGGATGGATCAGGGGTTCATGAAACTTGTGAAGTCACAATGCTTCATTCTAAGTACCTGCGCATTTTGATGACAGTATGGGTTCACCACAGGCACAAATCACAATATGACATCAAGACAGATTCAGAACTACTGAACTTGGACATTTCAAAATCACATTTCCTTTAAGAGTCATGTCTCCATACTATGTGTGTATATATAAATTTACCATCCACTAAATTCACAACCACAGGATCTGGCAGGAAACAGATCTTTTACTATATTGACGCAATATTTCAATAGAGATTTTGCAAAATACATTTTTGCCATCTCATATTAATAAATCTCAGAAAATGCACATCCTTTTCAATAAATTCAGAAAATAACCAACATCTGACAGGCATTAACCCATTCAATGAATTAGAAAACCCACTTCCTGATCACGGAGGGGTGTTCTATCTCCTACCCATGCTGTCACTGGCCTTCAGTTTAATCCTGCTTTACCTCTGACCCTCTAATAATGATTTTTAAATGGTTAAACACTTACCATAATGCGATTGAAATGCCTGCGGTTTGACAACCTGATTACAGTCGTTACACACCACCAAGTAGAAATCATCGTGGGCTGGACAGAGACCAAATATTGGCATGTCTGCAATAAAAAAAGAGCGCATCACTCACTCATGTGGTTCTGGTTAACATGAAACCATTGGGGATGGCAGTACTTTCCAAAGGAGCGGATTCACGATAAAGCGCATCGGGAGAAAAGTCACCCCAGTTTAAAAGTAACTGGTGTGGCACAATGTAACGATTAAGAGAGACATCAAATCAGGCTTACAGAAACACTGTTAAAAAAAAAGGGTTAAAATAAAATGCACGAAAAATCTTTAGTATGGGGTAAAAGAGACAAATCTATTCAAATGCAAACAACGAATACATTCACACAATAAAGCAACTTTCGATAAACCCTACCAAAGGTTATGAGAGAGAATCTGCAACCACATAAAATGCTCAGCAATTCACAAAGCTGTACTGTCTAATGGCTCTATTTGTTTAACTACGCATTCTATTCCAGTCATCTGGTCTCTGAGTTCTAGGGAACAGTCAGAGAGGAAGCAGAGGTTTCACTGAAGAGTAAAATTGCTGGTTTCGTCAGATGTCATACAAAGAAAATTATTTTTAAGCTTTCTTTTTTTTCACCAGGTCACAACAACCTCTAGTCCTTTTGCTTACATCCTGACGTCACTGGACAGAAAAACCTTCAGCACAAACGCAACATTTCATGTGTTAATCGCAGTTCAGTTACTAGAATAGGACAAGATACAAGCTGGATTTTTTATAGTAAGGAGATCATTAAAACAAAAGCGTAAAACTAAACTGTCTGCAAATACATGAAAACTGGAAGTACAGTAACTTGATACCTGGTAATATATGATTAACTAAAAAGTCCCAACCATGAACAATTAATTACTAGTAACAATACAGGGAACAGAGCTAACAGTTCAAACACATAATCTAAATCTTTCAAGTATCTCAGAATTGGCATTTGACACTATTGCATTTGTCACTATATGCACTATTTAGAGTATCTCCACTGAATGAATAATCAGCACATTTCAACTAAGCAAATATTTCAGTAGACAGAATACTAAGTTTAAAGAGGTGGAGAAAAGATCCAAAAGGCTGATCAGCCTCTGCTTTCTTTCCTGGTAAGATTTAATTTCACATCTTCTCCAGCTTGGGTGAGCTGGTGGTTTTAAAGGAAACAGAAAATGCCCTGCGGTGATGCAGAGTGATGATAATCTCTAAAATATCAAATTACTGATCTAATATCTTTTCACCAGGTCACAACACGGTTACAGCCCAGGTTTTCTTAAACACTTCCTATTACACTGAACTGCGCAGACAGCTAGCTGTAAATATGAAATGTATCGGGGACCAACAAGATTCCGGGATGGAGCAGTGGCATTAGCAGGTTCCTTTTATCCTCACAACTACCTAGGTAGATGCCATTATAATGCTGCTCGACAGAGGAGGAAACTGACTGAGAGAGAGGTGAAGCACTCTGTCTAAGTCAGTAGCTGAGATTTGATTCTGACTCACAACAGTGGCTTGAATCTGGTCCCTTGAAGACCAGAGGAATATGATTTCTAGAAATTCCTTCCAGATTCCAACTCCTGTAAGTTGAATGTCAGGGCTGAACAACTTTGACCGCATAAACTGATTAACATTTAACATTAGAAGGTTCTAATAGACTGCTGACTTCTGCGACTCAGCTTGATAATTTTATGAAAAACAAGAGCCAAACAATGTGCTATTTTCCTTGAAAGCATGCCCACATTGAGTTAAAAATAGTGCATGTGGGAGAAGGGGAAAGGTTATACCCGTGCGATTATCAACATGTAATAAGCCATTTTCCATGGCGACAGTTTGACATGACATTTCATTTGTAAAAACAAGAAATTTAAAGTAGTTTACCGTAAGTTCCATATACCCCTGTGCTAAACGCATCTGACACAGGTCAATTAACACGGAAACTCTGAAATGGCATAAACATTTGTAGCTTATAGCTGAAAAGTATGAAATGTCTATAAATATCAAATCAACAGATTCATTATCGCAATCAACTTGATTGTCAGTGTTCTTAATGAAGCAGCAATTAAAGCATGAAATGAAGTGGTCTCAGTTTAGATTTAGGCCTCTGCAACATGCCCGGTTTGTAGGGTTTCCCACAGCACTCAGCGTCAAGCAGCGCTTTTTAAAATATGTCCCTTTTGCCAGATACCAGATACTGCTGGGCACCAGCCTCCCACCCCTCTGTGAGTAAGGCAATTGTGGAGAACAAACAACTCCACCGATCCTCTCAAGTAGTAAGAATTCACTTGGCCACAATGATGTTTACGTAGAAAATTGTTCTATTTTTGCTCTGAATCCTTTCGATCCTTTTGTGAGACTTGGAAGTACTAGTAAAACTAAGTGGGTAGGGGTCATTCTGTGAGGGACCAGGAATCTCATACTTCGGCAAAAAGTTCAATTTCCTCAATAACTTATAATTATTAGCAACTGATGATGACAATAATGGATGATAATCATAAAGATGAACAGTTGGCATTTTCTGAGACATGACTGTGTGCCACGTTCTGAGCTAAATAAGCACTTTTCCTATGGTTTAACCCTACAATATAATCCTCATTTTACTGATGGAGACAAGAACTAGTCAACTATCACCTAGGAAGAAAGCAGGACTCAAACTCAGGTTTGCACCACCTGAGGACTCAGTTCTCAATCTCTTTAGCACATCACATCTGCCTAACAAGCCTGCACGTGTGCGCAGACGCACGCATGCACACACGATCCCTGCGGAAGGAAGCGCGGCACGCTTAAGGGCAATTCATGCTACCCTATGAAATCGAATTCCTGTTGGGAGAACCTAAAGTAACTTTGATTCTACCTTTCTAAGTTCTTTACTTTCAGATACCCCTATTTGGATGCAAGCTAGAAGATACAAAACAATTTAAATGTCTTCTTCAGGAGAAAAAAAAAAAAGAGTTCTATATCCCTTTTCTGCACTGGGACATTCCAAAGCCTTAGCAACAGGAACAGCGTGTGGAATGTTGTGACAACAGAGAAAATGAAATAATTTTTGTGAGAGACACTATGTATGTTTCTGAGTATTCTTAAAGGGTAGGTTCACAATCAGCCATCCACAAATTAACATATGCTACTTGCCCGAATACAAGATGGGAAGTTTCATTTAAAACAGAAAACAAAATAGAGTTCCTATTGAGTTAAAGGGAAAAAAAGTTTATAAAATATCCTTAAAATATACAACTTAAACCACTACAGGAAACATAAAGAAAAGTTTTAAAACTGCACTTGACCCCATGGATTATGAACTATTTTGAAAGAAGGGATTTTATTGTGTGTAAGCCCTAAATCTTTCTCAGGATTCAGGTCACCCTGAATCTTCCAATTAGCCCAAGTGGCCCGGCACCCACATCTAGGCCATCATGTACTTTAGAGACCCCAGGCCAGCAGAGGAGGAAGGACTGGGTTTAAGTACCCGGAGCACATGTGGGCAGAGTGAAGACCCTGTGCCCCAAACCAGTCCCTGAACAGTCACTTTGGTGCTGCCATCCCCACGTGAGGACTGTGCCCAACAAGCAGACTGGAGTGCCAGAGAGAAGCATTTCACCTTTGCAGTACCCTGCGCGTCTCCCTTCTCCCACGCACCCAAACTTCTACATACCAGTGACTCCCACACTTCCATCTCTAGCCCAGAGGCTCCCGAGCTCTGTCTAGACTCACATATCCAACTGCCTACTAGACACTGCCATCTGGATGTCTTAGATGCATCTGACATTGAACAAGCACACCCAGGAGAGCTTTGCTCATCACCCTGCTCTGCTCCCCAGCCCCCAAACCCTCTCCCTTCTGGGTAAATGACCCTATTCAGCTCCTCAAACTAAAAACCCTGACGTCACCTCTGATACCTCTTTCCCTTATCACAGCCAGGCCGCCAGCAGATGCGGTCAGCTCTCTACTCCACCACCTTTGTCCACTTCTCTCCGCTCAGGGCCAGCGCCCTAGAGCCTATCACCCACTTCTTTCCCGTGGACTATGGAAGAAGTCTCCCACGTGGTTGACAACCCCTTCCACACGGGCTCCAGAGTGATTCTTTGAAGTCCTCCAGAAGATCACATCACTACTGTTAACATTTCCCCAGCAGCTTCCCACTCCTCTTGGAATAAAAACCCCAGCCTTTACCACAGCGCCCAGGCTCCTGCCAGAGGCCTATCCCCCTCCCTCTCACCCCCTGCTCCCCTCCCTTTGGCCCACTCTTTCCCAGGCACACTGACCTCCATCCTCTCCTTAGAAAGCTCTTTCTCGGCCAGGCCCTGCCCTTGCTCTTCACAAAATGCCTGGTGCATTCTCACACATCAGGTCTCAGCTCAGCTGTCATCTCTTCAAAGGGCTGCCCCCACCGCCTCCCCAGTGACTTACTCTCTGTCACAGGTATTTTAAGCAGCGTGGCTAACACCGTGGGCCACTCCCTACCACTCTGAATCCAGTGGGATCTTGAGCAGGTTCTATAACCTCTCTGAACTTCACTTGTTAAATGGTGATGACCACGGTACCTTAATTCACCAGACACTGAACAAGGTAGAAAGACTCAGAGAGCTAATATATGCAAAGGCTTAGAAGGCCCGAGGAAGCACTGCCTTGACAGGGAGCAGGAGTCATGCATCCCACTGTTTAGCTCAGGAAACTTATTTACAGCACATAGACACTGAGATCTCACAAACTAGTAAGTGGCAGAGCCAAGATTTGAACCCAGGTCTGCTGGGCTCGAAAGCCCAGGCAATTCCCAACATTCTCCCAGGAACACTGCCAGAATCTGCCGCCTCCATGCCACTCCCACCACCAGTGCCCCGAGGTCAGGGCCTGGTGGCCTCCACACACCAGGACAGAGCTCCTAACAGGGTCCGAGTTTCTTCCCTCTGCAGCCTCCTCCACTCTGCTGCCAAAGCCACCAAGCCACAGAGTAATAAAGGCATTCCTCTCCTTAGAGACCTCTGCTGCCCCGGAGTGGGACTGGGAGCCCTGACCAACCCCTGGGTAAGCCAGGCCCCAGCGCGCTCTCTGCTCCTC